GCTCCTTTCAACTTACTGAATTGTGCGACTTAACAGTCGCGCATCATAATTTTAGAAAGAATAAGCTTAGATTTAGTATTTCTACGTCCGCATGCCTCTGTGGTGTTGTTAGAAGTGGAACACAATGGGTTACATCGCCAGTAACCGCCATCAAAGACTCCTCATTTCCCTTCATGTCTTAAGTGCCCTTAGTCATAGGCTTAGGATAACTTTCCCATATGCATGTCTCATCGAGCCCCTTAATCCAAAGAAATTATCGGACTGTGTCCGACATTGAAAATCTCGAGCAGACACCCTTGTAAGGGTTTCTGCTCCGACACCAAGTACCTGTTGGACTTAACCCTGGGTACCGGACGCTACCTTTCTGAAACAGTCCGGCAATGCCTTCTTTGGCCTGCGGACTTCAACCCTGAGATCCAAATTTTGGGTCTGCATCGTGGAATGCCTTTCACTCTCACTGGCCTAATTTCGAGGTCCTCGTAGAAAGTTACAATCTTTATTCGTCAAGTATATTGATTCCTCTTCCAGCTCTCTCATAGTAAGACACTATGTGCGGTGCTGTCTCAATTAGTTCATCTCGAGTAAACCAACGATTTTCCGAAGGTTCTTGATAAGCGAATCGAACCTTATATTGTCGTTGGGGTCTACCCCTGCACCCCGATCTATAAACATCATATCCAATGATGCGATCCACGTCATACTTGTCATCCATATCTGAAGGAATCATATATCTTCGAAACGGAAACAACTCATTGCTAACACAAGGGAGCAATTTAGAGGCATGGAACATCGGGAAGTGTGCAAGTGTGGAGGAATTTCAACAACGTAGGAAGGATCATCCATATCACCAATCACGTTGAGTATCTGTCATGGTCCCCTATACGCAGGCATAATTTATGCGAGATGTTTTCCTATGGGAGAAACTCCTTAGACTTTCTCCAGACCAAATACCCTACATCGAATTGCGAAGGTCTGCATTGTTTATTTGCTTGCTCTATCATTTAATGTTGTGCCTTCCTAATGTTCTCTCTTATTTTTTCTAAGTATTTCTGATACTGCGCAACGAACTCTCTTGTACTTGGAGGAAGTCTCTGCACTTGATAAGGATTCATACAGTCAATGGACATGCGTGGGCGCCAACCCAAATGCAGTCCAGTACGAGTTCTTGCAGTCGCTAAATGCATATAATTGTTATAGGCACTAGCGACTTTAGCTAGGTGTTCATCTTAGTCAACCTCATATGGTCGGATGTACATACACAGCATTTGCTGTAGCAGTTTGTTCATCTGCTCGATTTGTCGATTTGTCTCAGGATGTCTGCATGAAGACAAAGTCAATTTGGATCCATAGACTCTCATGAGTTATTGTCAGTGCTCGCTCATGAATCTCATATCCCTATCACTCAAAATAGTCTAGGGATTCAGTAGTCCTTCACGCAATGGTTAAAGAACTCTCGAATTATGAAGTTCGTCCTGGTTTCAGCAGCAAGTGGTACAAAACAACAAACTTGGCTCTTCCCATTTCTACTCCTCACCTTAATGTTAAAGTTTATAGACACAGAGTCTCGGGGACCGATCAGTATAGGCAACGGTCTAAGCAAACCAAGGGAAGGATGCGTGAAACTCTTGTTTCGTTGACACACTTTGCAGCCTTGTACATAAGCTATGCAATCCTGCTTCATTTCAGTCCACGTGTAGGAACGTAGAAGGTTAGTATAGTATGTCGTTGAAGTGTCCCTTACTGTCGTGACATTCCCTACGATTAGGATGCGAATGTTTGAATCTCCACGTTGTTCAGTATGCACAATTTGTCGTGCATTTGTCTTCTCAAACTGAAGTCCTTGGATCATCTTATAGTCTCGAACTTTATGCGGTACTGCCTGCACTTTATTGATTAATTGACTATAGACTAGATCACTAACATAGGTGGATCTAATATTCTGTTGCAATTTGGTGTCGGCGTCTAAGTACGTCACTATGGCAAAAAAAAAGTCAGTCATTCTACTTACTGCATCAGCAACGACATTGTATTTTCTTTTGACTAATTTTAGTTCAAAATTGAATTGATCTATCTCCCATCCCCTCTTGTCAACCTAGTGGTCATTCGGGTTGGTCTTTAACTAACAAAGTGTCTCATGGTTTGAATAAACTTCAAAATGTCGTCCAATGAGATAATGCCTTCAGTGATTCAAGGCTTCTCTAAGACCAAACAACTCTCTCTCGTACATGGAAGCGCCGACCTTCTCACCAGGCAGCCTACAAGACATAAACTCAACGGGTTTGTACCCATTGTCGTCTGGCATCAGTGGTAACTATAAATGACAACAAAGAATCAACAATCTTCAAAACCGGGTACTCTATTAAACACTTTTTTATACGCTTAAATGCTGAGGTACAATCCTTATCCCATTTCCAGACGGTTCTCTTCCTCAAGAACCTACGCAATGGAATAACTATTTCAGTGAAGTTTCGTACGAACTTCCGGTAATAGTTGGCTTGACCAAGAAATGATTGCAGTTCCGTGAACGTACGTGGCGTCGACCAATCCATAATTGTTATCATCTTAGCGTCCTTCGGTTTGATTTACCTCTATCGAACATCTGACGCTTGATTCATTCACACTTCTTGGGGTTCAACTTAAATTCGGCCTCGTGCAACTTGCTTAGCACCAACCGAAGGTGTTGCGTGCTCTTCTAATGTCTTACTAAAAATAAGAATATCATTCAAATATACCACAACGAATTTGTCTAGCCAATCACGAAAGAGTCCATTCATAGCGTCGCTGGAAAGTAGCAGGGACATTAGTCAACCCAAACGACATGACCACAAACTCGTAGTGACCATATCGAGTCCTAAAAATCATCTTGTGTTGATCCTCAGACAATGTCTCAATCTGATAGTAGCCCGATGTCAAATCTATCTTTCAAAAATATTTGCAACCTTGTACTTTATCCAAAAGATCGTCTATCATCGGTAAGGGTTCTGCATTCTTTATAGTAATTGCATTAAGACCCCTATAATTTATACGGATACTCATATCACCTTCTTTCTTTGGTACAAACAAGAGCGGTGCACCATACGACGAAGAACTTGGCTTAATCCACCTTTTTTCTATTATCTCATCTAACTGTCTGCGCATCTTATCGAGCTCTTTGGGAAACATCCGATAGATGGGGCCCTTGGGAATCCGGCTATATCTGGTGCTTGGTCTCCCTCGTCATTACTCCGCTCGGGGCCTCTCCCACATCAACGAACTTATCTAACAGACTTTACACACTGGGCCATATGGGTATTTCCTCCTCTTTCCCTCAATAACCGGTCTCACATAGGCAACAAATACTTGATCAGCAAGGTAATTTTTTACCACGTGGTTGGCGAACGTGGGGGCGGTCATACAACAAAGGCACAAACTACTCTCTACACCGGACGCATGCTACAAATACAACTTATTCTTCCTGCCTATGGGACTGGGCAGCCAACACTCGTGCTCGCTCATCTTAATATCATTATACATGGCGTTGGCCCAATCAGCTCCTAGAATCATGTCAAAAGGAAGGTTATCCTCCACTAACAACAGAAAAAAAAGAGTGTGTTAACACTAAAGTTTAACGGGGACCTTTGTATATAACATCAGATTTTAATCAGTTTATAAATTGTTTATCATCATGTTCATGTTGATAATCATGAAGGGGGTTAGCGTATATTTATAATTAATGATCAAGGCGGATCTCATCGTTTGACCCTTTTTTAACTGTTTACAAACAGTTCATCAAGTGTTTATCTTCCTTCCCATCTGTTAAAAACCTATTGATAAACTGTTGAAATCATGTTGAAATTCAGTGTTGGTGGTGATGTTGCAAAATTATACAAAAAAACAGGTGAAAATTGGTTAAACTTGTTATATAGGGATTATTTTAAGAGTGGGATAAATTGTTTTCGATGTGTAGTCCGCATTTATGTCATGTATCCGAAATTATTCCAGCTCCAATTTCTTTTTTGGTAACCCTTAACGGTGTTTCTCTTTTGTGCATATTAGGCTGACTATTTTTTTCTTTGTCTCTCTCTCTCTCTCTCTCTGTCTCTCTCTCCCCTTCTCTCGCTGTATATATATATATATATATATATATATATATACAAACAGAGTTGTCCTGGGTTGGAGGTATACAGGGAGAAAAGGACAACAAACAACTTGCCACCGAAAGCGGGATCACTTTTTCGTCGGACTTTCACCTGCTCATAAGGAGGCTGATATCTTACAAGAAAAAAACATGAAAGGTCATTGGATAAGAAAATGGACAATGGTCGGTAGGTGCACAGTAAAACAAAGACAATCAATATTTGCAAAGGCAAATTCGTATGCACCTACCGACCACCACTTTGTTTGTTGTGCGATCTTAGGAAAATAATATTGAATATAGACTTCTCTTTCCGAGAATCTCTCTCTCGGTAGGTATATATATACACATATATATACCTACATAGATATATGGCTGAACCCTCAACAGTCTACAGAATCCCCTCACTGATTACACTGTAAATGATAATCTACCTTAACCAAAATCAAAGTAGACTATCACTCACCCACACCAGATGGAAAACTCTACNAACGAAGGGAAAATCACGCGCGCCTCAAAACTTGCGCGCCCACACATTCTTTACTCTAGTCAACCACCTAGTCAACATAAGTTACAGACGCGGCAGTGCCTAACGCGGCATACTTAAACTTTAAATCAAACTGTTTTTCTGTCGCTTGCAAAGACCGGGGCGGATACCCTTGTAAGGGTATTCGCACCGACAACTTACCGGACCATATTAAGCGACGTCCCCGTCGCTTCGCAGGATCAAAAAGCTATCAATTCAATCACAATCCCAAAGTGCTGACGAGCAGGGTACCAATCCGATTAACCGACAGACCCAGGGTTAAGGCCTCCAATAATCCATGCCAAACACAACTTTATGGTGCCAGGATTCCAACCTGGGTCTTCGTCGCCCTGACATTCGGACGTCGGGATACTCCTTACTGTACTACAGCATAAGTTCCATTGGATCTCTCACAACTGCATTGGCTCCCTGTGTACTTGGTTGCTGCCTCTCAACCCCCTCCATGGCTACAGCAGAAGTGAGCTGATGCAGTGAATGAGCCGAACCCTCGTCGTCCATCACCGGAAGAACACCGTTGTCTCCCTTCAACTCGGGATGACGCATCGACGGTGCCAGACCCGATTCCGACTCCTGGATTGTTGTCGAGGACCCCGTCGGAGCTGCCGCGTGTATACTGAAAGTGTCACTAACGGCATGACCGGTCCCGTCAATCACCTCCATCCGCTCCTCGTCGGCATGGTCGCTCAAAGAGTCCTCTGAAACAGGAATATGCTCAAATTGAGGGACTGCTGCTCTTGGAATGTCGGGAACCCCGCCATGACGTCTGCGCACACGGGAAGCGATAGTGTCTCGTTCCCTGGGTCCGCGCTTCAAACGTCTCAAGCCACCGCCATCCACAAGTCCTGCACCACCATCAGTCGCTCCATCTCGCACCCCATCCGAGGCTGTGCGGTGCTCGCCTCCCACCCCCCGGACGTCTATGGTGTCACCGTTTGCAGGTCTTGAGGCCACTGCACCGCTCCCTGCATCAGCGTCACCATCAACACGGCAATGTCCCGCTCCCTCGTCAAGCCCTCTATCGTCGTCTCTCCGTGTCGAGCGGGGTCGTGGCTGATCTCCCCCATCACTACGATCATCGCCTCCGGAGCCGTCATCGTCGTCCACGTCCGGGTGACGATCGTCGAAATCGCTGTCGCCATCCTGTGCAGGCATGCCACTGCCGAAGAAATCCTCATCGTCACTCGACGAGCTCTCGTACAAAAAGTCTCTCTCGTCCTATCGTTGGCGAGGCTTGCGTATAAGCTGGTCCGCCGTCACTCCACGACTCGAGACACTCCTCCTCCTGTCAGGACCTCCACGCCCGCCTCGCCCACGACCGGCCCGACGACCACCTCCGCGACCACCTCCACGACGTCTCCTCCTCTCTGACTCTCGCAAACGACGAGCGGCTCCCATGTGGGACACGGCACGCATCCTCTCTCTAGCGTGCAACAACTCCTCATGCGTCACTGCAACACGGGCTCCTCTGTCGGCGACAAGCTGCTGGTCAGTGGGCACCTCCTCCTCCACCTGCTGCCAATAGTGCACCCAGCTCCCGTATGGATGTGGCCTGTCGTTGGGAGCATCGTCCGACATACCCTGCCTGTCGAGGAGTCGAAGGTTCCAGTTGCATCGCACGAGCTTCTCGTCTCGTGCCACCTCCAATCTATTTCGAGATTTGGAGTGGATGAAGCTCCAGCAGGACCATGCTCGCTCGCAGGGCGATGCAGTCACCCACACACGCAGTATCCTGCCGACAAAGACGGTCGTGTGCGGGAACCTCTTCTCCTTCGACTCCCAAAACGTGGCTGGATGGGTGTAGCTCCTCGCCGCTCGGTCCATGGCCACGTCGTCGAACGGGGGTTCCCTGGTGTGAAACTTGTCAACGGCAGCCAGCATCTCGTTGTGCTGATCCGAACCCTCCGGGTACCCGAACTGAACAAGAGCGACTTTCAAACCCTGCTGCATCTCGTCGTTGTCTGGCATCGTGCGCTCTCGAAACTCGGGATCCAACATCATGGCAGCAATATGAGCAGGCGACTTGAATATTGTGCGGCGTCTGTCAAACACCTCGAGAACTGCGTCCTGATCACCCCTGTCAAACGAGGCACATGATGACAAACAACGCACGATCATCTCGTCGTACCGACGTAAAATCTTGCCAATCTGCCTCGTGTTGCTGTTCACCATCTGCAGCATGTCCATGATGGGATCCAACAACTTGCACAACGCCGTCATATCCTCCCACCACCGAGGACAACCGACACATGCTATGACGTCCGCGGCGTCGTCTCTAATCTTCTTCGTCGCCCAAACAGTGTCCTTCCACCGATCGTCGATCACCACCCTCATGAGATGCGATTGCAACTTAAGAAGCCGCCGCATCATAATGACATGCGTGCCGAAGCGAGTCTCGGCAGGAAGCAACAGTGCAGCTGTCGAGAAAGATTGCAAAACCTCGCGAGCATGGCTATGGCGCTTGAAAAACTTTGTGACCACCCGCGCCTGAGCAATGCGGGTCTCCACCCACTCAATGTCGTCGATGTCCTCGAGGATGAGGTCCATGACGTGCGCCACACAAGGAATCCAGAAGATGTGCTTAACACTCTCATCCTTCCGGAACACCTCCATCGCAGAAACGTTGGAACTAGCCGACTCTGTGACGAACACGGTGATGTCTGCAAGCTTGATGTCAAGGGACTTCAACCTTCGCAGCCAAGCCTGCGCCAGAGCGGCGGCATCCTTCTTTCCTCGCATGACATCTGTCGCGACGTATGTCGCGCCCCGCGTGGTCCCGACGAGGTAGTTGCACAACGTTTGGCCCCGAATGTTGGTCCACCCGTTTATCATGATCGTGCATCCGTAGGTTGCCGAAGTAGCAAGGACGGGTTTCACACACTTTTGAACTTCCGCATCAAGCTCATCCAAAAGCGAGGTACGGATCATGTGATATGTCGGAGGTTTCGGGGTGGGCAACCCGGGAACCCCAGGTGGGATGATCATTGTCAACATGCGTTTGAAGCTCTCAAGCTTCACGCAGTTGAACGCCATGCCGCTCTCGACAAGAAATCGCATGATTTGCAGGTGCCATGCGTGCTCCAGTGGGTCGTTGTAATACGATGTCACCGCCTGCTGCCTGTAAGTGCCCTACACTCGTGCACCGGCGCTGCAACCTAGCGAATCCCACACCCCGCCGGCAGTCCCAAGTGATGCAGGTGGGCCTGGGCTCAGAGCAGCAATGTTGCGCAAATTTTGCAGAGGATCCAATGTCCCAAAGAAACCGTGCTACGAGGTCGAGGCTATCACGGGCACAAGAGTGGGTGACGAATCCGAAACTTGAATGGGCTCGTCGAGCGGGATGGTACCAGCCCCCGCAGGGACCGCTGCGGCTGCCTCGCAAACAGGTGCGAAAGTGAAGTCTGGTGCCCGTCCACGTGTCTGCGAAGGACCATGGATACGCAGCAGCCTGATGTCTCGTCGCGGGTTGTTCTGCCGCTGGGGGAGGTGCGGCTGCTCGTCGAACTCTAGCATCCTTATCCCTGTTCGCGGTGAACACCGGGGCGAGGACGCTCGATGTTCCAGCGTCCTTCCTCCACCCTTGAACCTCGACGAAAGCACGAGTCCCAAGCTCGTCGAACAGCACAGGTCCCCCGACATCCGAAACTGGTGCGGTGCCTCGCGCATCAGGCTGCGTCGGCACCGATGGAATGACACGTGAGTCACGCATGCACCCACCGGGAACGGCACCATCAAAGGGCGCTGCAGTCGTCGCATGAAGTGGTGCAAGTGAGACTGTCGCGGGACGAGGGGGGAGCGGAGCACGTGGTGCACGAGGATATGGCGCCATCTGGGAGGGGGCGGCGGTCGAAGGAGGCAGTGGAACAGATGCCTCGGGAAAACGAAGCGGTGGCCATTGGAAAGAGGGATGACCTAAAGGGAGACTCTGCAAGGCTTGCACGACAGAAGCCAAATGTGCAGGACATTTTGACATATCCTTGGACCAAATCGCGTGCCACACCGTCGGGGTTGCCACGGCGCATCTGTAGCCCTCGCCACGAAAAAAGTGTTCCGTTGCATCGCGAGCACCCCCGCATATGGAACGCTCGCATAACCTGCACACACAACGGCGACCGTTCTTCCTCCCGACCACACTGGACCCGTCCAAATAACGACCACGAGCAACGAAATGTTAAACGGGGTCATCTCGTTTCCCATCTGCCTTTGGATCCACCTTGAAAGGAGAGTCAAAGGTCTTCGTGTTATGACCTCTTCTTCCACCGTCTGACCTCTTCCCTGTCGTCGAGGAGGACTCCACAGGGCCCTTCTCGGTGTCCCGTGGGGCGGACATGTTGCGTAGGCTGAAGAAAGTGAAAAGAAGGGTAAACTGAACCGTGGAGCTGGAGCCGACGATAAAGAACTGTGTCGAATATCCGACAAACGAACCTGAAGAAGATGGACAATGACCAGAAGGTACACAAGTTCCATAACAACCACAATAACAAACAAGAGAAGGAACAAACATAAAGACCCTTTTCTCCCCGAGTATTGAAAACACCGCTACAAATAAGAAAATAACAACCACAAGTTCAACGTCTTTAAAAAAGGAAGAAGAAAATAAATAAACAAACAACCAACGGCATCCCGTCGATGCCAAACCTATATAAACCTTTCCCACTCATACCACCCCATGTATCGCCGTTTATGGCGGTTCACCGTCAGTGCCGCC